GAATTGTTGACCAGTGTCAAGCTTATAGGACACGAGTGTAGATAGTGCATTGTAAGCCGTGGTTAGTTCCTTGACGTTAATTTGTAGTGCACGTTCTTGGTGGGTCCATCGCCATTGCTTCCTGAGAACCGGCTTGCCGTTTTGGGTAGCCACCATAGAACCTAGTAAGTGACTTACTGTAAGTCGGAGGAGTCGAACCAAACATGAGTATTTGCATCGATATGTCGGTATGTTTCGACTTGGTTGGAACCTCATTCCAGGCGGTCGGTTTGGTCTACACGCCCGTTTCTGTATTCCAAATGCTCAAGGGAAGTATCATAGTTTTCTCTGCAGCTCTGTCTGTGATATTTCTAAAACGCAAGATGTACAGAAATCACTGGGGTGGTGTAATTATTTGTGTTATCGCCCTTAGCCTGGTCGGGTCCTCCTCGATTTTCTCGAGAGACTCCCAAGCGGTGAGCTTTTCTGCTGGTGAAGTTATTACCGGTATTTGCTTTATCATTGGCAGCCAAGTTGTGTGTGCTTCCCAATACGTCGTAGAGGAATTCCTTTTGAAGGGCGGTGCCGTACCACCCCTCGCTCTAGTAGGCATTGAAGGTATCTGGGGCCTCCTTGTGATGGCATGTATAGTACTACCAGTGATGCAACATGTACCGGGCAAAGACGTAGGTGGGGTCTTCGAGAACGCCTCAGATGCTTTTGCGATGATGGGCGACTCTAAGATGGTCCTTGGTGGTGTCCTCGGCTATGCTTTGAACACTTTCGCGTATAATATCTGCGCTGTTAATGTTACTAACTCTGCCTCTGCTATCCACACCACTATGCTTGATTCTACTAGGACTATTCTTATCTGGCTCTGTTCTGTTATAATGTAATATTCAGGGCTAGTTCCGGAAAATGTGGTATCTGGAACTACTACGTCAATAATGCTACTCTGAGATCTATGTCACTGTCAGAGCTCTCGGGTCGAAAGTGATTCCACAACTCCGTGAAATTGCAGCCCTAGTAGCAGTGTTGGAATATGTGTTGGCTTTCCTCAGCTGAGCTCAAGAATTTTTTCACTTAGAAGTATATTGGATTAGGATGCTCCACTGACATTGTGTATGCGTGCAGCCTGTCGCATGCGTGAGCCTGTCGCATGCGTGAGCCTGTCGCATGCGTGCTGCTCCATTGTTGTGCGTGCGGGTTGCCGCTTTCTGTTATACGAGTCGTTCGAGTGGATTACTACTAGCAAGGATCTGTCAGTTGGTTCTTACCTGTATACTTGTCTTCCGTGTTGGTAAATCTACTATATGGCGACACCTGACTACACTAAGTTGGTCCCACGGGCCGAAGATTTCGAAGACCAGGATTTATGGGCCGAGTTGACTCAGTTGGCTAAGGATGCTCGCTTAGACCGCATTAAGCAGACCTTATCGAATTTCCGTCGCAAGAGAACTCTGGCTCATAATGTTGTTAAGGATACTCGTCGTCAGATCGCCGAGGAGCACCTGGAGGGCGTGGAGGGAGCGGAGCGCCATCAGACCCTTACATATCAGACAGCCGTCTGGACCGATGCGAATAAGGCCTGTCGAGCCCTCGAGAAGATAGAGGAGGCGGTGGAGTATGCTACAGTATTCGACGTGTTACCGGGGACGGTGGGGAGCGATGACGAAGGGTGGGTAACGGCCAGCTCGAACCCGCCCGCAACCCCACCAGCTCTGCGTCCTGTGGAACATCGAGGAGTGGACCAAGGTTGCGCGGACAAGGCTAAAGAGGAAGGTGGAATCATGCATGCGACCCCACCGTTGGCCCCTGAGGTGTCTACCAGTAAGGCAATCACTGCGCAGACTATTACTAAGATTGACTTACCCAAGCTCAAGGACAAGTTCTCCTTGGAACATCATCTCCGATTATGTGAGAGAATGTTAGAAGAAGCGGAGGTGGGGCGCAGGATAGGTGACGACTTCTTCCCGGTATCACGCTTGCAGTTGAATGTGGTTATGAAGATTTTGGGGACCCTTGGGCAGCATAAAGATATCTTCGCAAAAAGAGAAAATCTGCACTCACCCCACCGAGGTCCCAGTTACCCGCACAGAGGGTTTGAAGAATGGGCTCGGCATCCACGTCCTCGGGGTCGTCCACAAGATAGCTATTCAGGAGGCAATCGTTCGTCGGCATAGCAGCAAAGATCGAAACAACATCATCATTCTCCGCGTATATTGGATTAGGATGCTCCACTGACATTGTGTATGCGTGCAGCCTGTCGCATGCGTGAGCCTGTCGCATGCGTGAGCCTGTCGCATGCGTGCTGCTCCATTGTTGTGCGTGCGGGTTGCCGCTTTCTGTTATACGAGTCGTTCGAGTGGATTACTAC